TCTCAACCGTCTCCAGGTTCACACGGTCAATGGATAATTCTGGATCAACTAGAGATCGACAAGGAGCGGGCTGAAGTACAACCTTCGTCTTTGTTCCAGGTGCCCAATTTAAGTACCTTAAATTTCGATTTTTCATTTGTTCGACCGCTATGCAGGACCTCCGCCAGCCGCGGTTTGCTAGCCAGAGTGGATTTGAGACAGGCTATGTTTAGGGCACCTTTTCTAGCCCCCTCCTCAATTGAGGTGAGCAGAGCATTCCTAAAAAAAGCTGCTCAGTCATCCAGGATGCTGCCGGACTCCCCTGCTGCCTCATCAGTTGAAAAACGACCGTGTCCTGGACCGCCTACGTGCAGGCTTTTGACTACAGCTTCCAGTGATGTCCACACCTATTGCACTGCCATCAGCCTATCGCCGCAGGACTTTGGTTGATGTCGTCACGTGCGCTGGACTTGGATTATAGTGAGGAAGAGTTGACGAGTCGTCGACCTCACTCTCTCGTCCCTTCCCATCCGGATCCAGTGGCAAGAACAAGTCAAGACGACTGGAGATAGATCAGGATGCAGTGGATGACCGCGACTTTCTATCTGCCTCGCCGCACTCTTCGCACTCCACAATGCGGTGCTGGTCATTGCTCATTTGCCCGTTGAACCATTACAGATTTCTTCCGCGCAATTAAGTGTAACCAGACTTCACATGCTTGGGCAGGCAATACCCTCCACAACGAGATCCAGGGGACCAGGAAGTAGTAGCTGCACATGCCACAGCTATTGAAGTTGACGGAAAGCGACGTCGCACGCCGCCTGACTGACTACGGGGCTCCACTCCGGATTTTTCCTCAGGGTTAACTCCCGAAGCCTTCCCCACAACTGGGTATCCCACAAGGCAGCGGAGGTTTAGAATCAGGGTTTTCCTTCCCCTAGATGGACTGCTCTCCCAGGCTGACGAGCTCCATCTGCCCAAAGCAAACTGGTTTTAAGGCGCCAGATATCCGCCTTCACCCCTTCTCCTGTCAGTAGAAGCAGTTCTGCCGGGCACAGTGATGCCACACGTGCAGGCCAGGAGTTGGACTTAGTTGTCATAGGCTATTTGAGACGCACGCCTTTTGGGAGCATTTTATAGATAGTAGGAGCTTATCCCCACTACCACTCCCGGCGATGACAACCTTGTGATATACGTAATAGCCTATGAGTTACACTGCTAGGTGATGTACTCTTTTGCTTATCATATGCAATGTAATATTCTGATATTATTGCTATTTAGTAGTATTATATGTTGTAAAGTTACATTCTGACTACGTAGATAAAACGTAATGTTATTACTATGTATGACGTAGTGTATTTGCTGGTATATGGTCTGAAAAATTACTAATTCACCTCAGTTTAGAGAAAAGCTGTAGGTAACATTTAAACATGGTTCTATAGATATTAACTCTTTACATTAAATGAAGTATTTCAACCATTAACTTGTGGTTTTTATGGGAAGTGGCTAGTAGGAATTCTTGTAGGTGTGAACAGTGGAATCTCACTGGGAGTTTAAAAGACTTGTGACGAACCTCCGATCCGAGATTTTTTAATAGTTTCTTTTCCTCCTTCATGAAAAATTTTTCAAGTTAATTTACATGAATTTGAAAATGACAGAAATTTTCTCCTCTGAGAGGACATCGGGTAAAAGAATAGATTACAGAAATAACCAACTTTTGTTAATTGTTTTAATTTGAGAAGATGATATTTGAAGTTAACTCTCTTTGTCAGATCACAGAGCTTAGAACAAAATTGTATGCACAGAATGTGAAAATTGTTTATGCAGGATTTTCCACATTGATTATAAAATGTCTCTGCAAAATTATGTCTTTCACATAAATCATAAAACCTGTAAAAACTCAAGAACGAGATTATCCTAAACCAGGTAGTGGTTCATAATATATTGCCCATTTGTACCTACTATTTGTAGATTATGAGTCGACTTGTCAGTTTATAAATGCCGCTACTATTTGTAAATTATGAGTCGACTTGTCAGTTTATAAATG